AGGATTGCCTAATGATGGACGAACACGAAACTTGGGGAATGCATGGGTTCAACGCTATAGAACAAGCTAACAACACGTCCTCCACATGGAATGAATTCATGGCTGCTATCAAAATCCTAAACGTTGAAAATCATAAAGATTTCACACGACACTTGATGTGTTTACAAGAAGAACCGGATCAAAACTTTGTCTACACTTTACTACAAGTATATCAAGACAATCAACCATGACTACGTATTCTACATGACTTATGGAATCCACAAACTGACCCCCTGGAATCCTATGCTTAATGTCATTTCAGCTCACCGCCAAGATACACCTATTATGTCAAAGGGACAAAGGAAACATTCAAATCCCTCGAAACGGATCATAAAAAAGCATGTCGGAATCATTTAGAAAATAAACTACGAGAACAACTCAGTAAATTGTAAAACCTTTGTTCTCAAAAAAACATTAGTAGTTTTACAAAACATCTCTGTTATAAAATCTTTTGCAACTTTATAAATAAATAAATGTTTTTTACTAAACGTGTCTTATGCGCAATGGTCTTCACTGCAATACATTAGGTAGTTCAAAATGGGTTGATAATCAGAAAAACTTCCTCTCAAATCCCCCAAGAAATCAATCGTGACTTCATGATCTTTTATTAACTTTGCATAATGTTCTTTCGCACGCCTGTAATATTCCAATTTCATCACTCAAATAGCTTCAAGAGACTTTTTCCTCAAAATTCCACACTCAATCACATGCTCCACTCTTTCCAAACCATGCAGTAACCATCCCTCCTCGTCTGACAACATAATACAGACGTGTCTCCTCTGACTCGGATGATCGACTTCGCAGCCGGGACATCTCTCCTTTAATAGTCTCTGAATTTCACAAACAACCACTTCGAAAAGCACAGCATTCATCAAATCACAAACATTCTTCACTTCATAAGATACTTCATTCACAACCAAATCGTTTGTCACCTCCTGAGAAATACTCATTGCTGCAAACATATCACATAAACTTTCCATTTTAAAATGAATATAAAATTCCCGTTTTTTATACGTTTTGCTGACGCCATCTCAAAATTCCCAAAGATCATGTGACAAATGTTATGCGACAAATGTTCCAAAAATGATGTCACACTTATCCGCCAAAATGTTGACGTCAAATGGCGGGAAAAATCCTAAAAATGCTAACGTCACTTCCGCCGCTATATGGGGGGCTTCATCTACTAATGCCAACCAAAGTTTGAAAGAAAATAACATAATGCATATAAAAATTGTTCCAAATTAATGGCCAATTATTTAGCGGATCTTTTGGGAAGGTTAAAATATTATATTTCAATGCCAGCTTTAGTATTTTGATTATTTTGATCTAAAATATAATGCACAATGACCCAACTTAGTGTATCAGTTGCTTAATACTGATGTTGTGTGTGTTTGGATGCAATATCTTTTAATTTATTCAAACATGGTAGGGATGTGGTGATGATTCAACCAACCAAGTCACAATAGTTTTGTCACTGCTTTTTTTTACTGACCAATGACTGATGTTATAGTGGGCAAACCATTCACAAATAACAAATGATTTGTGTTCAAATATAAACAACCTTACTATTTCACTCTTTTATAGCATTAAAATATGTCACTTATTTGCTGACCTGGTGTTTTCAGGCTTTTCCTGTTTGTTGTTGATTGTTATTGTTCCTGGGTGAGCGGGAAAGGGGAAGGCTTGATTGGCATTTATAATGTCATAATTATCTTTATCATTCCGGAGGATTAATTAATGTATGGGTCCAGGTTAATATTGCTTTGAAAACATCAAAATTGCCAGACCTGTCAACCATAAAATTTTAAAACCGGGAGATTTTGTAAAAAACCGGGAGAGCAAAATTAAAGTCATGCAGTGTTCAAAACAGTAAAAAATTCTAATAATTTTCCCAGCTTTATAACCATTACAATTGCTTTCGCTTTAACAACTTGTTTAATTTAATTTAATGCTAACATGGCAGGAATGCAACTAGTCAAATGCCAAACACTTGTAGTTCATGGAGTAAGTTTCAGAGCTTGGACACAAGTGATTTTCACACAATTACTATTTCTTGCCAGATATATGAATATGGAAAATATCCATTACCTCATAACAATTAAAACAAGCAACCAGGACAAAATACTGTGATACCAGGAGAAAAAGGTCAAAACTGGGAGTCTCCTGGCAGCAGCGGGAGAGTTGACAGGTCTGGTTTTGCAGAGAAATGAACAACACTACACAACATCAGTAAAAGCTTTAGAATTAACACTTTGCTTCCATGGAAATGTGTCGCATGATATTTAAAGGGAAAATTACTTACCATATTTTCAGTGATGCTGTGGACTAGGAAATATAGTAAGAAACGATTCAGTATTTGCTTGTCTAAAAGACTTTAGTGTGTGATATTTACATTCCTAACTTGCTATCCTAAATCAGATAAGTTTTTGATCTATATAAATTAATAATAAGTGTAAATATGAATGTCCGTAAATCATCCCTGTCTGCAAGCAGAGTGAAAGTTTCCATAAAATTTGTCGATTATGTGCGATTCATGCGATGTTTCAGTCCACGAAAAAATTATCAATAGAAATATGTTAAAGTATCATTTAATACTTGACTACAAAATGCACTGTTAAAACTATACTTTAAATGTATTTTATAGCTTTAAAATTTAAAAACCTACTGTTTACTTGTTGAATGTATGAAGCAAGGCACCCAAAGTAGAAAAAACACTTACAAAAACTGCTTTACCACATGGAAAAACTAGCCAAAATGCAACATTACATCAGTTTTTTTTCAGAATACATTAAATTTGGCTGAAATTAAAATTTGGGCCGGGTCTGGGGCCAAGGTACCGGTGGGGGTCACAAACGGAATTAGGATTGGAGTCCGGGGTGAGTCTGAAATTAACGTTGGGGTCGGGATTATGGTCCGAGGCGGGATTCCGGGCGAGGAAAAATAATTTGATGTAGTCAAGTCCGATGGCATAACTGCGGTCGTTGAAAATGACAATCTTGTTCGGGAAGCTGATAATCCCAATATACAATCACTTCTAATTCCAATCCTTGACTCTCGAAGCAGCCAGCAGTCAAGTGTGGGGTTGTCTCACACGTCAATACGTTGCAAAATCGGGAAAGGCAACAAAAGCTCGGTTATATTAAAACTAACAAGGCAGTTATGTTTAAAGTCAATCACCACAACCCATTCTCTTTTGCCTGTTACCAGGTGGTCAATACTCTCCAATCACTGGTTAGAACAGTCCAACAATCGAAAAATGACACTCTCCCGACAAAATGGGATGCTTCCATGCACAAAAAGTAAAACGCAAAATACAACAAAAAGCATTTTGTAGACCTGTTTCCTGTAGACTGTTTAAATTCTGACTGAAATATCTCGTTTCATGCATGTGAATAAATATTAGTTTACAAAAACAACTCGAAAGCTATGCATAAAGTGTGAGAACCACAGAATGTGTTAAAAACAATGTGCATCTCATTACACCTCGTACAAACAAATATTTGACGTAATGGGATATTGTTCTTATGTCAACATCATCTTCCCGAAAGCATCAGTACATGAACACACAGTGTAAAACGTTTCAAATATATATTTCATAAATATGATAATACAAAGCTGTTTAATTATTTGTTAAATGTTTATGTAATTGTTTCAGTTCTGCTGAGCATCTCTGGATAATAACGACTGTCAAACAGTGGTACGAAAGGCGCCATGGTGTCAGGCTGTTTTGGCAATTCCTCAGGACTCCATTCAAAATAATCACACTGGTTTTCGTTGCAGCAACAGAACAACTTTTTACCTGTATTGGGACCTTGTTTCTTGACTCGCTTCACGGCACACAGTTCGTTGTGATAGCAGTTGGGTTTCTCGATTTCTTTCTCGTCTGCCCACATCCATAAGGAGCAAGGATTCTCCCAACTTGCACACGTAAAATACGGTCGCCCATAAGACTTGTTCATCATGTCTTTAAAGACACGAAACTTCGCTGTCTTTTGGCGACTCTCACATATCGGCTGCGTCAAACCCGTGGCTCTCCAAGCTGCCAGAGCTGTCTGGAACAGATAACCGTCATAGTAAAAAGTAAGAAATTCTGTCCACAAAACCAAAAGGAGCCTTGTCTGTAGTTGAATTGGAAGCGGGTTTTCCATGCATACACTCCATTGCTATAACTTTAAAATAAACACTTTACTTTTTTCCTGCTTTTTATACAAAAAAAGTCAAACCGCCTATTAAAATAATATAAAGCAGACCTAAAGACCAAAGAGCATGCACATACGTCCAAAAATATATTCACAAATTACCTTTTGGTGTGCCTACTGGAGTCGATGCCCTTCCTCTGTCCATACTTCCTAAGATAATCTCTCAGCTGTACGAGAATGTACGTCAGAACTCGAGGTCAATCATTGCGTACAAAGGCGGGATATATGAAAGAGACCTGCTAGCTCGCTTTAACATTCCTGCACTTGGTCTACAAGACTATGGTTGTCCCAAGGCTGAAAAGCTCTTCGACCAGCTGGTCTAGCTTGAAACATGCGGGAAACACACCAAAAATGCCGCCTACCAACACTGTGGCAAAGTGGAGGTCGAAGCATTCGTGATGTGGCTGGAGAAGAAAACAAAAAACTGGTTCCTATAAGAACCACCAAAATAACAAAAGAATTGAAACAAATAATGTGATATTCATACTTAGCATGGAAACACTTACACACATAGAAAATTGCCTTATTAGTCGCTGGGCAGAGCCCGCAGCGACTCTAGGTTTCGGCATGCATTTGTGTCGGATCTTGGATCGTTAGCCACAAAATGACAATTACGTCATTAATAAAAAATAAAAATTACGTCATTACTATTCTTCGCTGAATTCAAGATGGCTGCTTACTACAAGCGAATGGTAGCATAGATTTTGTACATATTTTTTTTTTTGCAATGACCTTAAAAGTTTTCCGATGAAACAGACTTTATAAATCGAAAGTGTCATTTTATGTGAGTAAACTTGGAAGGCTACAAGCTTCACATAGAGGACAAAAGTTCACAATTTTCAATTTTACAAAGTTGGAACGGGCCGCAACCTTTGTAAATCGCAACAATAATATTTGCAAACTGCTGTATATTTGGGTGCTTTTTACAGCTGTTGATGCAAATAATCCTGTTGTACTTGTGTGAAATTTAAGAGGCAGTCCGTGTAAAAACCGACCACTCGAATTTCTTAAGATTACAGATTTCCTTCAAACTTTCTGTGTGGAAGAAGTCATTCATAAAATGAACAAAAAACGTTGACTTGGAAATTGTAGTCAGTTTTAAAAAATTTTTCGCAATTATTTTCGGACGCGTTCGAAAACAAGTTAAAACGTTAATTACGCAAGTGATATTTGAGCTTTTTTATATCTCACAGTTCATCTTGCGCTTTTATTCTAACTTCTTGAAACTTACATATTTTATTATTTCCTGCCTAGGCATAAACCTAAACTAAAAATTATGCTGATCACTTGAAGCAAACAAAATATTGTGTATTTTTAAAAACGTCTTTCAGACAGCGGATTAAATATTCGTGTTAGTATGCTGGCGGTAAATTATTTTTTCTCAAAAGTGCAACGGTATCAGGTATCCAATCTATTGCAGCTACTGAGTATTATGACACATCTACTAGAATAAATAATAAAATCTTTGGGCAGTTTGTTTTTCGCTTGACAAGCGCGTCATGAATATAGTCAATTTTCGCTAATTCGACTAATTATAAGCTATAATTTGTTAATGCATTCACTTAAATTTTTCGCGTTAAAACATACAAAACTGTTTACTGTTTCAAATATGATTCTTTTTTGGATAGAGAGTAAGTTATAAATATGCCAGCAATTATATATGCTTGAAATGTTACGTTTATGGGTATCATTAAATACTACATGCATGGTATATATAAACAAAAATGTATAAGAAAAGTGCGGGAAATGATATATGTGTGCCAATTTATACGAATGCCTTGAAGGAGCACTTTTTTCTCATCATAGATATAGTGCAGATTTATTTTGCCACTATAATATGAAACAAATATTTTATACATGTTTAATATTTTCATGTTTTTTAAGAACTGCAATTACATGCTGATCTCGGTTAAGGTCCTGTCACACTATTGCGTATGAGAGAAACATAAGAGCAGCGTAAACCATGCATGTGCATGCATACGTCTGTATACTCGAAAAATTTTTAACCATGCTTTATACCTTGCATGGTTCCCCGATTTTTAAATAGACACCTTACGATTTAGGACAGCAACGGCTACAAATACAATAAATAATTAAAAAGAATTCAATGATTGCAATATATGAAAATTTAGACATTGTCCTCGCTTTGTTTACAACGCCAAATCACAGATTTTGACGTCTTGATACAACGGCTGCATTTCAGCCGCAACAAGTGCAACTTCAAACTGGCTTCAGCAGAACTCTTCCCAAACATAAAACCCATTAAATTCATACGATTCACAGGGGGCAGAAAAGTACGATTGTGTTTATTTAAAATACCTTGTCATCAACCAATATATCGCATAGTTTCATCCAGGTTTCATCACGATGAAAATTATGTTGATTTTCGATAATATCATGCCTACTACTTCATGTAATTCAAACATTGTATTACAAGGACTGACCATAGTAGCGTGGGCTCATACTAGAACGATTGACTTTGCTTACACGTACAAATAATAGAAAGGGATGAAACCCCCGATCGTGAAATATTTCGAATGGATATAACTGGCGTGTTTCTGAACCAAAACCTTTTATTTTTTGTATACAGTTTAGATATGATACACTTAGCATACCTGTACAAGGAAATTTTAAGAAACGGTTATTAAACCGAAATTCTTGGGACTACAATTTTGGCTTATTTTGTTTCAACGTGCACCGCAACAGATGGTGACGGAAGTGACATAGTTACGCACTTAAAATATATTGCGCATGACAAAAACTATTTTTCCAACTGATTCATATTATTAATTATATATAATAAATATATGACAAGCTCATACAGTATTTTTATGATTAGTATACAGTTTCAAAATAACAATATGCTCATATAAATTGTCACTCATTGAATTGTCACTGAATTGAATTCTCCTTGAATTGAATTGTCACTTATTGAAAGAATTGTCACTTATTTGATAATTCATACAAAGCCTACAAAATACAAGCCAAAATGCACCGGTATTTATACTACAAAAAGGTCTATATTAACCGAATTAACGAAACCGTTTCAGAGTTTATTTAAATTTACTGCCATTTTTTTCGCCCCATAAGTGCATGTATAGTTTATTTTTGAATTTAAATAGTCTATTGATATATCTTAAGTCTGCACACACGGCGAAGACGAGTTTAAATCGTGACCGGGTTTTGTAGACTGCCGTTTGGATTTATACAGTCATATTAAACAAAGTTCAAAGTCGTGGATATATTCACGTACGGTTGATCGATTCAAGAACAATTGTTTTAAAATTATTGAAAAGCTTTATACCATCTAGATACAAGAGCGTGTGTTGCTTTTGAATCGGGTGATTCGCATTTCTTTTAGTTGACAAAACGTTCCATATTAATATTTGACTAATTTGAGTTTGAATTTCGCAATATTTTTTAAAATTTGTTATTGTCATTCAAATTATTAACCGTTAATTCGATTAAAAGGTCATGGAAGATGATAGGTCAATTTTCCTTCAACTTCCGTTCTACTTCCGGTTACAATGTCGAGGTAACTTCCGTCACCATCTGTTGCGGTGCACATTGAACGAAAGATTTTCGGCGTTTCATCCCTTTCTTATTTATATACGGGTTACAGCCTCGGCACCCTTTCGTAAGATGTTCGGAAATTGTCGTTGCAATGCAATTATGTTTGAATTACATGAAGTAGAAGGCATGATATTGTCGAAAATATAAAAATCAGCTAATTTTGATCCCTTTTATGACTTTGTCTGTGGATTGTTGTGATATAAATATGGGATATTGGTCGATGACAAGGTATTTATAAAACACAATCGTACTTTTCTGCCCCCTGTGTACGATTGTATTAAATTCGTACGATTGCTAATATACCACGAATTGTCTTTAG